AAGGAGGTGGTAGACACATTGCTCCAGCTAGGTGCTGACAAGAACGCACAGACTGCAAATGATGGCTATTCAGCATTGCACTTGGCAGCAAAGAAAGGCCACAAGGAGGTGGTGGATATGTTGCTCCAAGTGGGTGTTGACAAGCATGCAATGACAGCGGATCAGGGCTATACTGCACTGCATTTTGCTGCTATGGAGAGACACCAGGATGTGGTGGACCAGCTGCTCCAGGCAGGTGCAGACAAGGAAGCGGTAGACAATAATGGGTTTACTGCGTTTGATTTGGCACCTCTCTCGTTGCACCAGAATTTGGTGCTTCAGACAGTTTCTACGTTTCAGGGTGCTTAAAGACAGCATTGACAGGCGGAAGCACCGCAAGTTTAAAAAGCATGAGGCATCCATGGGTGGACGCTTCGACTAATTACATTTGTGGTGCAGTGTTTTGACCCACAGCAAGTGTTTGGGTCGGTGAAGAAGATACTTTTAACTTACTGTATTTGGAGGGGTCATGAAGTGGTCGGGGAGGCGGATGTCATGTTGTTTGCGATTTGCAAAAAACCGCCACGAGTTGGGACGGCACATTTAGAGTTGTTCTTCTTTTGAATGGGGATCACCCTTTGGTCGCCTTCTCTTGTAGTCACTCGAGTGTGTTTCTGTCACGGAGTTGCTATTGAGCTTCTTCAAGGCTTTATCCGTTTGTTGGCTACCTTTGCGGATCTTTGCGGTGTGAACCCCCCTTCACATTGGAGCTGAGCTTCACATTATCCAACAGAATTTATACCATTATCCAGCTGAGTGTGTGTGTGATAATAGTATAGTTTCTGTTGGATGGATTGAACAGCTGAATCGCTGGTCAACTTGCTGCATTGGCATGTTGAGAGGAACGACCCTTTCTTCAAAGATACTGTTGAACAAATAGTTTGCTTGTCCTACCTTCCAATGAACATTTTCGTTTGTTTGAAGATTATCCTGGTGAGTGTACAGCAGCATGCTTGGGACTCTGGATCGCTTCACATTCACACGCATAATTTAGTGTGAACAGATGTCCTTGGTTTTCTATCTCATGGAGTTGTTGTCCATTCTTATGGAGGTTTGGGCGGTTGTTGTGTGAACCCTCAGCTCAGCTTGAATTGGGGCTTTTGGGATTTGACGCGACGCGCGCACTTGCGTTCCGTGTTCGGCCATGAGGTTTAGCCTCATTTTGAAACGTCGGAAAGCTCAGCGGTTTGTTGGTAATCGTTGGCATTTGGAGCTGACCCTTCAGTTTGTTCTGGGCCGGACAAGGAGCAGGTCACAAGGATGACTGGAAGGAATTTGGTCCTATTTATGTCAAACTGAGAGGCTGAGTATAGGAAGAACAGACCACATGCTCAGTCAGTGACCATAATTGCCGAATATTGTCGGGTGGAGGAAGTATAGCCTGTGCTTTACACAGGACTGAGAACTGTGGTATGGGTGTGAGAACGTGTGTAGTCTGCGCATGTTTGCGCCAATCATTGAATTTTGCAGTTTGGTCATGTTTTTGGGATGATCAGACCCTGATCTATATAATCACAATTGCCCCGTTTTGTGGAACCAACACAGATTTACAAGTGGTATGGCTCAACAATGCAAGATTGATAGGTGACATTTTGATGACCACAGATGCCGTTTTGTGGCAGATTGGTAGGGTTGAATGAAGCTCCCCAATGTGGGTTCAACATTTTGGCTGTGTTCAAACATACTGACAGTCTTACAATACATTCCATTCCCCAAGTCCTTCGGGTTAAACAAACTCTTCACGTTTGAATTCATATTCCCGCTCCCTCTCTCCCTGGGCGTTGTTGGTTGGTTCGAGGTCATTGTCTCCGCTCCCACTCAGCTGCGAGGTGTCGAGACCTGGAGGAATTCCTACTTCGGTCCTTACGAGTCGGGGCCACGCGCGTGGAGCGACGCGATCCGCGTGGTACAGCGACTCTGCGCGCGGCGGTACAGCGCGGAACTCTCTCTCTCTCTCCCTCTCCGCGCACGCAACGACGCAACCGAAGAGGTTTTGCAGGCGTTTGTTTGTTTTGTTTGTCTCAGGTTGGCTCTTTGAGTTCAGAATTTTGGGGGTTTGGTCGACTTGGTTTGGGAGAAACATAGTAGGTAAAGGCCAGAATGCTTTAGAGGAGTGTCTATTTTTGGAACCTATATAGAGACCCAATGTGAGTGGATAATGGACACGCCTGCCCTCCACTAAGCAGCACGATGGAAACTTTTTTGAGTGAACTCCTGACAGAACCGTGGGATTTCTGCGTTTCACAAGTGATTGTGTAGATTGATCTTTAAATATCAATGGAATCACCGTTTTGCAGTCAGAAGTTCCAGTGCTACCGGAATTCTGGTTGGTTAAGATGTGTTTGACTTGTTGCTTGGTGGCAGGGTGGGAATTCCTTCAGATCATCAAATCATATCAAATCCCAAAAACAAGACGTAAAATGGGAAGGAAACAACTAATTAGCGTCCACATGTTGACAGGTAAAGCTTTACGAACAGAAGCACCAAACAAGCCAGATGGAGGTCTCCTAGGCAAAGAGAACGTTAGAAGAAATCTGAAGGAACCTAACAGACCCGGAGATGGACACGTATTCCGAACCAAAAACACCCATGGACCAACCAAAAACCGTGCACCGTGGTGAACACATGTGAACAAAATATAAACCCTAAAAAATCAATGGAGATGGAGGTCTCCTTTGGTCACATATGGTCACATGGATCGCCTCGAAGATGATTGTCTCTACCAATTGTTTAGTCTCAATGGGAGCGGTGAGGCTCGGCAAGACTAGACGGAAGAAGGTCGCAAGCACGGGAAGACAGGGTTGACTGTGTTAAATCTTGGGTAACAAATCCATGTCCATAACTCCGGAATTCTTCGGTTTCTTCAGTTCTAGAATTCTAGTGACTCCAGTGGACAACATGTATATTTATATCTGATTGTTCTTGTTCTCTCTCCCTTTGGTAGGCTTTAGAGGTTTGGGAGCTGTTGTAGACAGATACGACAGCCCTGAATCCCACCGGCTTTCGCTGCAAACCACCAACGGATCCGCCTGAACGACACTCCGAAGCCGTCATGTTGACTGGGTCGTAGGATCCCACAGGAGGCAGAATTCACATGCCCAGCGCATCATTATGTTGATTTGGTGATGAACAGAATCAACAGGTGCAGTAGTTTCTTACATGAACCAAACAAATCCGAACAGCAATATGTAACAGTTGTCTATATCCGGTCGTGGATCGATGATGGTTCCTCTGTTGAGGTTCCTCTCCGAGACGGTGATGTCTTCCTTGCCCGGGCCACCGAAGAGCGACCTTGGGAGCTGGGCAGACTGAGTAAGCTATGATCCATTCCCTCTTGAAAGTTGTTTTGGTTGATGGACGCAGAACCTTGGCGTTTGCACGGCCACCCTCTGTAGAGTGGAGATATCATGCATTTTTTGGGGTATATGTCGGGATCTCTTCCTTCAGTAAGGAGCAATCAGAAGCACTCCGTGAGAGATAGGCTTTGTTTCACCCTCTCTCCAACAAGCATGGAAGACAAGTTGCTTCTACAAATCAAGTTTGTTGGAAGGCAGGTACTTCTGCGGTCGTACTCATCGCAGTCGTCGGTAAGTGTCAAGCAATAGTGGGGTAGTCTCCCCGCCCCATCCTAGTCGCTTTTCTTTGTTTGTTTTTTTGAGAACAACCAGTTGCAGAATTAGATGGCTGAATTGGAGATTTGAACATTCTAGCTTGGTTCGAAGACCTCTATACTGGAAGATGTGGCTTTAGCTCAGACACTATGCCAGAGCATCTCATTCGGGCAAGGTGGAGGTTCTCAAGACTGAAGGTATAGACTGAGAAGCACTGTGGGTGTTCCTCTAGTGACTTTCGGGGCAGATTTGGGTGTTTGTTCCAGCATTCTTGGAATGTGTCGAGCGAAAATGATCCCTTCTGATCAGTTTTAGGGGAGTCGTGTCTTTCCGCACACGCACAATCTATTATGATAGTTGATGATAGTTGATTAATGTACGAAGCTTGGGCTTTGTTCATCCCCTTACTTTGCAGGGACACCCACTCGAACGGTACAACATACCAAAGGTCCAGGAATTTACCAACATCTTCCAGAACCATACTGCTGACTATATAGCCTCACCAACAGACAGTCACTCTTTTGATTTACTGTTGGTGCTTCTATGGGAGAGTGAAAGGCATCAATGTTGCTGTTTTGTTGTTTTGTTTTCATGGTGCATCAACAAAAACTTGCTGGCAAATGCTTGGTGCCAAGAAAAAGGCTGCATCATTGTGTTTGCCACGAGAAAGCTTTGTGCCTTGCTGGCCTTCATCTGTTTGAAGCTCCGCTCCAACCGAAATCAACCACTCAACCACCAAATCTGTTCCCAACACCACCAGCGACTTTCTGTATCCAAGACACCAAGCATCACAAAAGCATCACCTAAGCACCACCAAGCTCACTCCCATCACCACCATGGTGGTGACCCTATCGTCCTCCCTCAGCAGCCGACTGGACTCTTGTTTCGGAATGTCTGTCCGTCCCTCAGGGTGCCCATGTGCGAGATGCAGCCGGACTTGTGCGGCGCACTGGTGGTCCGAGCGCCAGACGTCGCGGGTTGGGCGGGTCGGGTCGTCCGAGTCGGTAGGTAAGCAATAGCCTCGGTCCGAGGCGGGCCTTTTAACATTTAGAAGGGCAAAAAGGATGGCCCAAGGTAGTTTTTTTGGGAGGTGTTTGGTTGTTTGGACCAAAAACACCTGTTTGGACGGTGGAATTGGCCTCTCCGGAAGGCAGGGTGCAGTGGGTCGACATTTGAGGGTGTTTGTTCCCTTCCGGATGAGCTGGAAATGGCAGATCAGAGCTTTTTCAGAAGGGGAGCGCGAATGACCGGATTAGGTTCCTTCTTTATGACAAGAATTTGCGAAGAATACGAGTATGGTATGTTTGACTGAGTTAATCAAGATATGTGGCATATTCACATCGCTTCGCGGTGGAAGCTGCCCCCCACAGATTAAATGGAGAATGTGTCAGTAGCACCCCACGAGGATATGGGTTGGTTATTGGTGTGGGAAGCAGCAACTTGTGCTCGCGGAGCCGGGAAGCAGCAACCTGTGCTCTCGGAGCCGGGAGGAAATGGTAACCAGGCTCGAGCGTGAAGAAGTGCAGAGTGAGGAAACACCGAGGGGTGGGTAGTTGAGCCAAACTTGGGGCACGACTGGTTGGAGTTGCAGTATTAGGAGGGCACTAGTGTACTGGGTCGGGGGTCGGGAAGCAGCAGCGATAGGTAAATCGGGCTTCAGAATTATACTGGCAGAAGAGTCTGGCTGGCCTCAGCGATGGGGAATGTGATTGATATTGGCGGCTGGGGCAGAGGCAAACAGCAAGGGGCTCAGCCGAGGTTGCGTGGAGAACGTCAGTTAAGAAAGATGCCGGGTAGGGGGGCGCAAAGCATCACTCGAATGGAAGCAGACCTATAGAGACGAGGACCGCGCATTGCGCAGGATCCAGCCACGTGAGCATGCATGCTGTGAAACAATACGTTGTTGCAGTTTGTTTGGTACATTGAAACATGCGCGTGAGCGAACTTCCACCATTGGTGTCGCCTTCGTTGCAGTCAAATGTCAGGATGCCACTTGCCTCGTGGCTCGAGATGCTGGCTTGATGAGTTCATCTACAAGAAGAATATGACAGAGATCTTGGGCAAAGGCAAGGTTGATGGTCACTGGCCAAAACGCAAGTGTGGTGTCCTCCCACAGACCTATGGTGCCTCCCAGCGACGTATCGTCTCACCAAGGAAAGCAGCCGGCAAGGAAAGCAGCCGGCTTCCCGAAAGCCATGCTAAAAAGCTGTTCGAAAAGCTAGGCCTGCAGCTACGCCGACGAAGTGGACAGTGAAAAGAAGGCACCTTTGCCACACACGGCTGCTTTGAAACATGTGACATATTGAACCGTTTCAGTGTGCCACGCTGCAATATGTCGACATAACAAATGTGAACATAGCACGCGTTGCGTTATATAGCGTTTACAAACTCGTGTGCAGAGCGCAGAAGATTTTCCTTTGTATGGGTGTGCAAACTGAGCGTTAACATCCCAATCCCCACCCCAGTCTGAGTCACTCGCATTGTGTACGTAGCGTCGCGTAGAACAGTTTCTCCTGCATGGTCATGCAGGCACGAGGCGTGTGCAGCGCATGACGTTTCGGTCCCGCAAACGAGTGATTTGCGTCTGCAGGGTCCTGCAGGGAACCTCCTAAACCAACATAGCTCTCATGTTTTGACCTGTTTGAAAGCACGCATGTTTAAATCGAAAGCTCTCAATACTCGAGGTTTTGGCCTGACAGGGAGCCATCTCGAATTTAAATCCAACCTTTTTCTTACTACGGGTCTCTTTGACTTTTTTGAACCTTTTCTGTCTTGCTTGAGCGTCTTGCTTACATGAAATATGTTCTTTCTTAAAGCAAACCTCTCTTTCTTCTAAGACCTTTTTTTCTGAATGAACTTCGTCCTCCTTAGATAAACTTCTTCCTCCTTTACTCTTACCACCTTCTCTCAATATATGCATCTCTTCTTTCTTAATGGAACTACCTCTTCTTAAACTCAACCTTTTTTCATAAGACTTGAATGAACCTTTTTTCGTGATTGAACTTCTTTCTTCTTGCGTTTTTTCTTTGAAGACGTTTTTTCTCAATGAATCAATGAAATTGTCTTTCTTAATGCAATCCAGAAAAGTGAAATTATCCCGTCAAGAGACCCCAAACAGTGTGTGTGTGAGGTCTATCAGCAGATAGTCTAGAGATCTGTGGTGATGGTGGCGGTGGTGGTGAGTGTGAGTGTCAGTGTGAGTGTGGGTCTGGGAGTGAGAGTGAGAGTGTGAGCGTGGGTGTGAGAGTGTGAGAGTGAATGTGTGTGTGCGTGCGTGAGTTGAGTGAGTAAGTGAGTGAGTGAGTGAGTGAGTGAGCGAGAGTGGGTGTGAGTGAGAGTGAGTGAGTGAGAGTGAGTGACTGAGTGAGTGAGTGAGTGACAGAGAGAGAGAGTGTGTGAGTGAGAGTAGAGTGAGCGTGATTGGGAATGTGAGTGTGAGTGTGTGTATGTGAGAGGAGGGTGAGTGCGAGTGTGAGAGTGAGTGTGAGTGAGAGTGAGTGTGAGTGTGAGTGTGAGAGAGTGAGAGAGTGAGAGGGTGAGAATGAGAGTGAAAGTGAGGGTGAGAGTGAGTGTGATTGAGAGTGAGTGTGAGTGTGAGTGAGAGAGTGTGTGAGTATAAGAGTGTGAATGTGATTGTGAGAGATAGTGAATGAGTGTGAGTGAGTGTGAGTGTGAGCGGGTGAGTGTGAGTGTGAGTGTGAGTGTGTCGGAGTTTGAATGTGAGTGTGAGTGAGAGATAGTGAGAGTGAGTGCGAGTGCGAGTGTGTGAGAGTGTGAATGTGAGTGTGAGTGAGAGATAGTGAGAGTGAGTGTGAGTGAGACTGAGAGTGAGTGTGAGTGTGAGTGAGAGTGAGAGAGTGTGTGAGTAAGAGTGTGAATGTGAATGTGAGTGTGAGAGATAGTGAATGAGTGTGATTGAGAGTGAGTGTGAGTGTGAGGAGCGTGGGTGTGAGTGTGAGCGTGTGTGAGTGTGAGTGTGAGTGAGAGCGAGAGGGGAGCATCTAGAGCACACACGAAATCCGCAATTCGAGGTTCACCAATTGCTGGACTTCGAGGTTCACAAAAAGTGATGTGCCTGCTACGAAATCTGCACTTCGAGGTTCACTAAGTGCTGTGCCTGCCACGAAATCTGCATTTGGAGGTTCACAAAGTGCTGCACCTGTCACGAATTCTGCACGTCGAGGTTCACAAAGTGCTGCGCCTGTCACGAAATCTGCACTTCGAGGCTCACAAAGTGCTGTGCCTGCCACGAAAGCTGCAAAGGAGCCACATGTGGAAAAGCTACGACGCTACGATTCACTGGCACCTGTCACGAAATCAGAGCACCTCGACGATCACCACGTCCAAAGTGCTGCATCTGCTACGAAATATGCACTTCGAAGTAAAACCGCTCCGACCCCTTGCACCTGTCACGAAAAGTCGACTTTGGACCACGCCTGCCACGAAAAGTGACCACCATGTGCGAAAATGCGCACGGCACCACAACGCACCACAACGAGAGCGCATTCGCGACAAGCGCTCGCCGCCGCCACCCAGATTTTGCAAACCTGCGCAGTCGAAATGCAGGTCGACGTTTTCGAGAAGTATGAATCTACTGTAAGTAGCAGCGAATTAGCCGTCCACGCCCGTGCGCCCCAGCGATCTAAGCACAGCTGCTTTTGTCCTACCATAAGAAGCCTTAAGTGTGTCCACACTGCTTGGGGAATCATTAGTTGCAAATTTTTCGAGTTTGCTTCGATGATGCATGTGGCTGCGAGTGGCGGGATGTGACAGCAAGTGGCTGTGTTTTCAGACAGACATGTGCCCACTGGCTCCAGCGGCCACTTGCAGCCACTCGTGCCACTGGGTCCAGCGGTCACTTGCGGCCAATGAAATTTCATGTCACAGAGTGTCACCATTGCTTCTGCGATCTTTCTTGTTCTTTGTGAAACAAAACAACAATTGAGAGTGGGATAGCTATAAGGGTAGGGCACACGGTCGGCCGCACGGCCATCGTTCCCATCAAAGTGAAGACTTGAATATTTTGATGTTTTTGCAGAGTTGATCCCCGGAAACTGAAGTTTCGAAACCTGAAATTATACCAATAAGGCCAGTTAGAAGAACATGTTTTTTGGGGTTTCACTCGTGTTCTTGATCCGAAAACAACCTTTTTTTGATTTTCTGTTTCCAAAACGCTTCGTGACGCACCCGAATTCTCCAGATCCTCTCAGTCGAATCCCTCAGGCCCTGTTCCATAGCTTCATCACGCACGGTGAGACGAGGCCGCACGGTCGACAGGAACGGTCGAAAGGCTGGTTCCTTACTCAGTGTCCATAGCTGGACCTGGACTATGTTTCGAACGTGTTTTTTTTGGGGACAACAATTAACAAGAAACCTTCCATTGAGTTTCCAGCAAAAATGATCTGCACCACATGCAGACCGGGTTTCCACATTGGCATAGTTCATTTAGAATGGTAGGAAGGCGGAGCCGGTTTTGTGCAGCAAGGATGTTCCTAGTTGGATCCATGCCGCGTGTCAAAATGACTCTACTCTACTACTGCATCATGCGCACATGCGCTCACCAAAACCACCTGCATTGAGTATCCTTCGACAAAAGATCGAACAATTCTCCTTTTTGTTGACGCCTCACAGGTTGTTGGAGCGTGTGTGGGCTGGTGGTTTCGTGTCCGGGGGCCTCTGCTTCGGGCTGTGAACCACGGCTGGAAGTGCCTGAACCCATGTGGAGAAGGGAACGGCGAACGACCCAGTGGTTGCAGGGGAAGCTCCAAAAATTCTATTACACCAGCTGTATACATGTGCCACTGCGCCATTGGGCAGGTATGCATAGCTTGTGATAGTGCGTGTGATATGTTCGGTTGGCATCCATGGAAGTAGCGACGCAGGGCTGCACGGCCAAGATGGTGTGGAAGATGATGTTCCCTATACATGGGGATGTGTTTTCCAGTTTCTTTGTTGTGGCAGAGAACATATACTACCCCCAGTAGGCAGTTGGAAACAAAACAGCTGCAAAAAGACAATCTTTATCCACAGTCAACTGTTGAAAAAGAAGAAGCATAAGGTGCTTCTGCATGAACCTCAAAAGAGACAAATGATTAGATAATCCAGAATCCAGAACGTGTTCATCCTTTTGTGGTTTCTTCCACACAAGGGAAGGCTCCTTTGAACCATCTTCCGGACCCTTGCGACCGAGGACATCAAGTCAACAAGTAGAACTTGGGCAAGGGGCGATGAGGCAAGTGCTATTCCTGCGACGAACCCTTTGTCTATGCCTACACCACCACCACCCAAGCTGGATTGCTACAAGCACAGCTATCCGTAGACATATGCATATAGATGTATGCCTAAAAGCCTTTCCCCATTGCCCCGGGTAATTGAGCGAAAACTGAGGCCATGGCTTTGCAAACGCTTGGTCAGAGCGCCCAGCCCCGTGTTGTCGTGCGGTGGACGCGGGGGTTCTCTGTCACGACTATGTAGACTCTTGGATTGCTTGCCGCCAGGACAAAAAATGGTTGAAGAACAAGTTAGACAATAGAAATAGCAAGTTCACTTTTTAGGTATTGGCAATGATTTGCCTCCAGTTGTTCATTTTGTACTTAGAACAACGTCGCATGAAGGCATTTTTTTCAGTGTCATCAACAATCAACCATTTTTTGGTGCCCAATGTCCAATCCAATTGACTGAACTGATTGGAGGTCCAAGCTTCATGAGATTCACCCCAAACCCTTCCGAAATTGTTCTCAACTCAGGTTTTGTTGGACTTTTCATTCTCTATTGTCTTTCCGATCACACTCAGCAGAGCTTTCAACAGAGGTTTTCGGGTTTGGATTGATCGAGGAAAGCACGGGGGTCCTCAGGGTCGATTCTACCAGAGAAGCGATGAACACGAAGCGAGTCCAGCGGTCCAGCGGTTGGAGTGAAACCGTTGGACCTCCTCTTCGGGTAGTGTTTCCTCGGATTTTTTGTCTGGCTTTTGGTGGGACAAATGACACATCCAAGCTTTTTGTAGATTGTTTGAACTGAAAATCGAAAGGGTTTGGAAGTGAAGGGATAGTGGATGAGCAGATCGTGCCATTCGCTGCTTGCATCACAAAGGGGCATGCAGCAACAGGCAGCAACCCATCGGCTAAAAGAGGGTTCCGGTTCTTGCCAACCATGCACTCAGGCACTGTCAGTTTGGATGGAATTTGAGATTTATTAGTTATTAAGTTAAGAACATTCAACAGATAGACGATGCTGCAAAAAGTCTCGCCGCTTTCTATGCAAAAGTCACATGATGGTGATTCGTATATAGAATAATAAGACCAGAAGGCGTTACGAAGTTGTTTGGGAACATAAAGATCTATTGAATTTGGTGCATGAAGGCGTTTGGGTGTGCTGCGAAGAACCATGAAGAACTTGTCTTTGACCAAAGGTGTTTGAGCTAGTTTGACCTGTTTCATCCGGTCGAACCGGACCATTAGGACCGTTATTTGCATGACAGAAATGGAATTTACAAATGTGTCGCATGACCACAATGTTTCTCGTTGGCAACAAGAGGATCAGGATTTCTTGCAAAAAGCCTTATTTCCACCACCTCAGAATACCTCAGTCATCATCATCCACTGTTACTGCTCCTATGACATACCAAAGCTCTTGCCGTCCCGACCGCTGCGGGGTGTTGAGCCCTGCGCTGTGCCACCGAGCCCTGCGCGCGCGATGCAGGGCGACAAGTCGAAGATTCAGCTGGCGATGGCGGAGCGAGAACCCTTGGTGGTGCGGAGCTCATCATCTCAGAGGTGTGTTGGTTTACTTTGCGGGCAAGAACATTTGGGTTACTCTACATGTTTTTGGGTTATTTTTTTGGGAGGGTGGCCCCTTTTCTTCGGTGGACAATAGGGATGAAGTAAGAGTCATCGGAGGTTTCCTTGCGAAAAGCTTGGATCTTTCAGGGTTTTAAGGGTTGATTCTCTTTTCAGTGGTCAGTGGGTGGAATGTGAAGAGTTGACGGTACGTAATGATTGTTGTTGTCATGTCATGTCATGTCCAATGTTTTGTGTGTGTTTTTTCAATACATATTGCTAGAGAGTTGGCCGTTGTTCTTCTGGGTGAAAACATGTGGAAACCATGATGTTACTGGCGCGGTGCATTGGACCTACCACTACATTCGCATCAAGGACGATGAGGTCATCGAAGCCCAAAACAGGCAAGTTTTCGATAAGCAAGTGTTTGCCTGAAGTATGACCTTCACAGCAGAATTGCATGCTGGCTGTTTTTCCTTTGATGTACATAATATATTCATGTTATGTTCCATTGATGTCCACCACAAGTCTTGTAGCCGCAGCCCGCTGCGCGCGCAGCCCCATGTCCGATGTCCGCGCAGACCCCCCAACGGTCATGGCCGGGCCTTTGGGGCAGGTGGAAGGTGGCTCCAAGGACCTGCCTGTGTTCTGCGCTGTTTGTGGGGGGAAGCGGAATGGCCCACATGGCCATGGTTTAGAGTCTGGAGATGGGCCCACATGGATGCAATGGATGTCAAGTGAGGTTTGGATGTAAGGGTAAAGCATGTTGGAGAGAGAATATGTGTTCCATCAAAACTGTTTAGATGGATGTGAAATTTTGGAGTTCGGAAGCTCGTTACCTGGTGGTTAATCTGTGGGGAAGTCCCCGGAGCAGCCTTTAGGCGTAGAGAATTCACTTCAGGTTTCAGTGTCAAAAAGGTTTTTAACCAAAAAACATATGAGCAGCAGCAGCGCCATAAACTCCCATGTAAAGGTTTAGTAAGAGAGTTATTCTAACGTTGTGGCGCGAAAGCTAAAACCCAGGCCGCGAAAGCTCGCGAAAGCATTTTGCGAAAGACCCTGAAGAGTATTGGATGCGAAAGGTCTTGCGAAAGCATATATTAATGCTGGCACATAACCAAGTCAAACAGTTATTCATTTAGTATCTGAAAGCTGGTGATGGGACTAGAATCCGCGAAAGCTTCGCGAAAGCTTCGCGAAGGAAGCGCGAAAGCAAACCTGGAGTAGAAAATGTGTGTGGTATATCTGCTGCTTCCTATACTGTCCCTGCCCAAAGAAAACCTAGCGTACTTACAATGCTTCCGTCCCCACTAAAGAGGCAAGCGCGAGAAAGCGCCTGCGAAAGCAACAGTTGGAACACCAATGCGCGCGAAAGCTAAGACTGTGGTCGCGCAAGCAGCGCGTAAGGATCTGCGAAAGCATGTTGTTAGTATAAGGGCTTAGGATAGAGGTTTTTGGCATGGCTCATATGTTTATCAATCGATGGTTGCCACTGCTACAAAGGAATGGACGGCATCCCGTACGCAGTTTGAAAGAAGTTGCCTTGGCAGCGGCTTCGACGATGTGTAGCGCGGTCTTTTCTGTGCCTGAGACTGGGGGAGAACCCCTCATCCGAGCTGCCGATGGAAAGACCTGGTGAAACACCAAGGGGATGAAACTGATTAAACACAAAACTGTGTATCAGGCTGCTTCGTCCTTTGGGGCTAACAATTCATCTGTGAATGTCAACCCTTAAACATCCTTCAACAAACATAGCCAAACCCGCTGGTTTTGCGGTGTCAAATCAGTCAAAAGAGCTCGGGTTCTTCGGGATGACCCGACTTGTTATAGATCAATGGGGGGAATCCTAAGAATTCTAAAGCTTTCTCCGGGGTCTCGCCGCACCGCCCGCGCCGCCCGCGTCCGCCTCAGGAGATTCCGCGCGACGTGCCGCACCAAGTCGCGAAAGGCGGCCCGTGCGTGGTCCGCGTGCTCGGGGCGGCGGGGCCGTGCCGGTGCAGAAACAGCACGACGTGGTGATGGGCTCGAAGGTATGGCACTCCCAAACCCCCACCACCCACCAAAAAAATACAATAATTGTTTTACTATGTAAAAAACAAGATATCGTGCATGGGAAAAAAAAGGGGTCCAAAAAGCTTAGCTGGCTCCTTGAATTCGGCTCTTGTGTTTGTTGGAAACCACCGATCGCATTTGGGTGCACTATTCGGGTGAGAATGCCTCAGCGAACAGCTGCCACAGTCGTTGAACAGCTGCGTTGGGCGAAGCAGCACAGCGAGCTGTTCGAGTCAGTTGTGTTGAGTTTCTGGATCTCAAACACAACTTTTGGATCTCACCTCAACTGGCATTGAGGACAGCTGATCTGGATCTCACCTCAATGCCCAGTTTCTTTACTCCTCTTTTTGCTGTTGAGCCCCAAAAGGAGAGGCGAAGACGAAGGCCAGACGTCGGGAAGAGAAAGAGGGCAGTCGGGCTCCCTGAAAAAGAGACGCGACTCTCCAGGCGTTGAAACCAACATGACTCGAATGACTCATCTAGGACCATAGGGTTAGATGGTTAGTATAGATGACTCAAAATCAATCAAAAGGATCCAAAAGGGCACCCATACGCACAGATCAGCATGAAGACTTCTCGATCCAACCTAGATCATCGGAGTGATGGTTAATTCGAAGATCTTGGCACCACTTGGAGGGTCCAGTGTGGTATATATATATATATACCAAACCGCCTGGAGAAGCTCTACGACGCCTCCAACCGCTCGAAGCAAGAAAAATCGCGATCGCGGTGGCCAACGGCCTCCAACAGCACCTGAGAGTGATCCGCTTCTGCCCTGGACGGGTTGGACCGTCTGGGGGCACCAATGAGTGGGTCCATCCTATCCGGTCTCCAGTCGTACCTTTGTTTCGAAGGTGTTTGGGGTGGGTTTAGAGGGTCCAGATAGCTTCTGAGGAGGTACTATATTACCCAGACACTAATGGGACTGCCACAGGACTGATCAGGCCAGGGGTGGTTGACTGGGGGTCAATGTAGACATATATGGCAGTCCCATGGAGTGTTTGGGTTATATTGTTTTTGGATCTTGAAGTTCGTTGTGTTGTGTTTGGATGACAGATGAAGAGAAATACGGGACTGACAAATTGGAGAATTGTAAGGATATCGGGGACAAATCCAAGAGTTTGGAATGTCAAATTCCCATGAACTCCCAGCCCTTCATGACATGCAGGCTCGAGATGGCTCGAGCATGTGTTGTTTCATAGATGTCCTGTTTGAAAAGAGGCAAATGAAACATATAAAAGTGATAGTTTCGCCAAGTGGTCCGACCGTGGTCCAGTAGGAGTTCTTGTGTGGGCCATATGTGGGACATACATGTTGTTTTCTACCTAAAGAACCTGAGTTCGACCTTGATTCGGTCGACCACCAGGCACCGATCAATACAGGGGTCAAGTTCGAATCCACCAGACAGTCACCCGGATTAGAAACATGCCGGGATTAGATGATGTTCTTCCGGAGTTGGTGTTTGGTCCTCGTTTTTTTGGGGGACAAAACCAAAGCACGTTTGGTCTCCACCCCAATCAATAAGGGGCACTGACTTGGCGAGCACTGACTTGATCTCTGTGGATAGGGCTCACAGCACATTGGTGATATTTCGACCGCATCGAGTGTGGCTGGTAGGTCTCACAACACTGAACTGATGGGGTGTGGGGCGGATGTCCCGGTGGAACTTGAGGTGTTTTTCGCTTTGGAAGTGCACAGGTTTGAGCCGAGCTCACCTGGAGCTCACTTGATATAGCCTGGGACTGACACATGGACCGATCCACTTGGGTGCTTTGAGGGGTCAATGTATATATGTACAGTCTATATACGCTATATATAAATATAGCTATATAGGTATATACGGTATATACCTGGAGTCTCAAAGGACCTCGGAACATGGGTACTTCAGTACCTGCTTTTGGTTCGGGTCACCAAACCCATGTACTTCAGCTACGACCGAGTCGGGTCCAGGTACTCCAGGACCGGTCGTGTGTGGCTCTGGGCTGCGGAACTCGGAACGCGGACGTGGGGGAACGGCCACGGCGACGTCATGCATTCCTCTCTTGTCTATACTCTTCACTTTCCTTGCGAGTTGGTTGCCTCAAACCTGCCAAAGAAGAGTGATGTATCATTTTACGGTACGCTCAGTGACTTCTCGTTCAGCCCACCTTGCCAAGCGGCGCCAGTTACTAGAGGTGCCACGCCTCTTGGACTCTTGGGCCAATCGGTCAGGCAGTGCCAGCCAGGGCTGTTCACGCATAGCTTAAAAGCTCATGCTCAACTTCCGCACCGTCGCCGTGACGGCCTCGGCTAGGCCTCTCCTTCCAACGCGACATGTTCTTGTGGTGAACTCTAAACCATATACAATCATATACATCTTGAAGAGGGAGATAGAGTATACGGTGTACATGAGATTCTAATCACGTTGCCAAATTTCCTTCGCCTTGAAGCTCTCAAGTTCTCCACTTCCCTCACCTTGCAACCTGCAGGTTGGGATCGCCACAAGGATATGGTCCGGCGCTCAGATGCCATCGACCGACCCAGTCAGACCTCGGGGTCATGGATCATAGTCCCCAACCCACAATAAATTGCACGAACGTCTAGAGAAAAGGGGTGGTTGAGGGTTCGCCGTTTAAATTGGTCATGCCATAGAAAGGTGAGTTGAAGAGGGGCATCGGAGAGCTCAAAGATGATCCTCGCAACCTCAATAGCCAGCTGGAACCGTGCATCAGGCAGTTGAATGCTGCAGACAAGAATTACACGAAGGCAGTCGAGGAGAAGAAAACCGTTCAGTCCGAAAACTTGTGTTTTGGGGCAAAGGCGTTCCTCATACCACAGGGGTTTATTGGACCCTGAACCTTGGGCTATGCATTCCAAGAAAATGTTTCTTTGTGCTGGTTGCAAAGAACCAGGTGCTCCCATGTCAACCTGTTCCATCTCTCAAAGATCCATGCTCAGCTAGGAAACCCAGGGAGCAGGTATTTATATAAATCAAAAATATATTTGGTTTGAAAGAGAGCACTCCGCACCCCTTCCCTGCTTGCAAACTGGTAATAATGAACACCACTTTGCTGCATGGTGCAGGTTTCACCTGCTTCTTTGACTGGGCCCCATCCACCTCAGAGGCCCCCCCCAGCTGGATCGGAGAGCCGGTCGCTTTTCCTCCACACCCTTGGTGGCGCAATCGTTGGGACGAGGTCAGCATGCAAGCGATGGTGGTGCGCATCGTTCGGGCGACCTGGAACGCGTTGCGAGACGCAAGGGGATGTCGTAGGTGGTTGGAAGGAGGGACCGAAGAGGAAGCAGTGTGGGGGTGAATTCATATGGGGGGTTCATTCATCAAGAGTTTTATATTGTAGATTACAATGTCGACTATTCTTATATAGTACATTACTTTATAGATTTAGAGTTTCTTGGTTCCCACTGACCAGAATCGGTCTTGCTTCGAGCACGGGTGTACGTTTCTCCGGGCTGGCAGATGCAGTCTTCAGGACGACCTGACCCTCGACGTGTTGCATGAATGCCGGGAGATCTCCCCCGCACTGCAGGGTTTTTAACTGAAAGGAGTTGCATAGTTTGAACTTGTCCGGTGTTGCATAGTTTGAGGAGTTGGTGTCACTTTCATGTGTTTCAGACCCAACTTCTAACTCCACCTAACAGCTGCTACTGGAGGGAAGTATTCCCAACCACTACGAATACCAGAAAAGTAAACTTAAAACGTCATAGTATATGATTACATGTCATAAATAACGTCTAATACGTTTTCCCCCCAAACCCAACTTCGAACCCGCCATATACATGATGATACAGTTACTTGTACATGTGTTTCATTGTTTTCCTCCAACCCAATCCATGCAAATGTGTCTTGTGTCTTGTTCTGTTCCCCTTCCAAATCCCAAGCCAAACCAACCCTTCGAACCACGTCGTCGTACCATCGTCGTATACCAAACGCCCGCAGAACAAAACGACGCCGTCCGGGTCCAGGTCACCGAGCTCTACAACCTCTTCCCCGCCGACTTCGGGGCCGCGGTGGTCCGCCTGGCCGTTGTTCGTTTTCCGCGCCCGGCCGCGGATGAAGCGGACGGCGGGAAACCGCCGGATGCAGGAGGAGAAGCGGAACAAGTCGAAAACAACAACCTGCGGCGCTTTTCTTGGATGTTTTATTTTGGGGTGGGGGGGATTGTGGGGCACATGATATATTTCAGACTTGCAGATGGGGTGGTGACGATCTTTTTTTCCGGACAAGATTAACTTGTAGAAACAAAACAAAATTAAGAAGGGGTTTCTTGATGATTCATCTCTAAGATTCCATCATGGACAAACTGACAAACCGTGTGGCCGTGCGGTGGTGGGATATATGAATACGGGATAATACGTGTGAGTTGGCTTGGTCATCAGATGTCATCAGTTGTCATCACGTTGTTTGGGGAAGGACTTTCAACAAAGGTCCAATGTCAGCGATGTGATGTTGGATGTGAGCTACCCCACATATACGTCAGGGTACCTCATCAAACTCACATGTTGGGTGATCCCACTCATTACCCCCATCGCGGTCGGAAAGAGGATGCACCACATTGCACCACCAGTCTTGCGCTGTGCGGACGACTTCCGAGCTTCTTCCCTTCGTTTGGGCAGCGGAAGCTTGGAGACTTCGGTTGGTTGGTGTTGTTATACCCCTTGGCTCACTAAGATGGAAGTGGAAAACTACCTCTTTCTAGAGGAGCCTCGTCTTCCCAGTGGCCATGTTCAATTTCCATGTTAGTGAGTCCGAGTGTATGTCTATCTTTCGAACTTGTATGTCGAGTCTAAGGGATGAACTTTTCACCGAGTGACATCTCATGATTCAGATCTGGTGACTCTACGTGGGTACAGTAACTCACACACTTCCGTGGGTAACGAAACACATGTTGAAACCCATCCGGATCGATTAGCTGCCGGAGCTAGGCAGACAGCTGGCCGGTGCCTTTGATTTCTCGCCGGTTATTTTTTTAGGCCCACCACCTAGATCGACCATCGGCCAGGCCAAAGAGGAATCCTTGGTGCGAAACTTGCTCGGGAGCCCCAGATATGGAGACCAGGCTGGTAGCAACCGACTCGATCTCCCCCCAAATGGACCGGACTCCACAGCTAGAAGCCGTAGCCTATAGCCGTCATACGAAACGACAAAAGTGAGAACCCACGAGACGGTATTTATGACTGTGAGAAACAGAGATGACACAGTGAAACCCAGTTCCTGTTGGTTCAAATTGACATGGCAATGTTCCTTTGAGGTTATACCCAAGTTATGTGGGAAACACTTGTTCTTGGAAACCGCCATTTGCAATGTTTAAGCCAACAAATCTTCCCGGATTCTGAGGTCATTTCTAATGAGATCTAAACTCAATGTGATTGACCAACTAAACTTCATTGTAAACATTGACCAACTAACCAGCAAAGTGAAGCTAGCCATGTTGGACACACACACACACACCCCACGTTTCTTTGGACACAACGCCGCTTGTTGGTGCATCCCCAGGCGCGAGCATGTGACCTTCTACTGCCAACAGGTGGGCGGGCGCTCCACGTCATGTCAGGTTTATATAGTTAGGTCTCCACGGAGAAGGACACTGAAGTAGGTGCGACATGGGTGTGACATGGTGTGACCGAGTGCACTTTCATGAACACACTACTATGTGCTATAGCTGCTTTTGCCCCACAAAGTAAATGCAGTTCACTGATTGATCTACACACCCGAAGACTGAACAATGCATTCCTGGAAGACGAACATGCTGGTCCCAAAACCAAATGGTTGGAACTCAATATACAGATGTTGCTGCAACAAGTCTTGTCAATGATGTTTGTATTCATTCCTAGGACCGACACCAACAAGCTGAGTCTCGAGCATTCCGTTGCCGCTCCCGCATGGCCCCGAAAAAAAAAAAAGGATTCCATATTCGCTTTCTGACTCGGCGCCAGACCGACTGGCCCATGAAAGAAGACAAGGAGGTGACAGATGCTGTGGAAGCGATCATGTGCGTGGCAGCTCAGATCGCGGACGCGGAAATTCGCTGCGGAGCGAGCGGAACTGCCAGGTGGGCCGGCACGCACATTGAACTGCCATTAAGGGATCGTCATTGGTTTCACTCCTTTGAGGTCCGGTCGGTATACCGCAGTATACCCTCTCTGAACTAAGCATGCTTACATGGAGGTTATATACATGGATGGCATGGTGCCATGCACCATCTGTTTGGTATTCGGTTGCAACATGATGATCCTTGTACTTCGGCCATGGCATCCACGCCACCATGAACATGAATGAGGGAGTGTATATATCGACACTTCACTCAGCACAAGTACGAAAAGAATGACACCTGATAAGATCCAAGTCCTTAATCCAGAGACCAAGGATGCTGGCGCCAGTGAAACTCACTCAGACCAAGAGACTTTACGATCGACTCACTCAGACCAGACGCAAGCAGTTGTGTCGCAGTCGGATAGGAGTGGCATCCGTTCGAATCGACGTGGGCGCGGCACGTGGGCGCGGCACGAAAGCGCCGCAGTTCTCGACATCACACCCTGTACGCAGTACGCAGTACTCGCGTCATTGACATTAGAGGATGTGCAGAACGTCTTCTTGTTTGCAACAGAGTTTTTTTGGCAGGGAATCCTCTATAATTACACAGTGTATACAGATTTTCCTCTATACTATGGAATCCTCTATAGATCTACATAGTTTCCACCGGAATCCTCTATATACAAAGGAATCCGGTCCAAGTCGTTGCCATACGTCACCGAGTCAGAGCCGAGTCTCGTCTCACGAGTCCGTGAGACTCCATGCAGCCATCCCATGTTCCTCACCAAATGACGAAAGTGGAGTGGATCTTTTTGACTCCTGGTTCTTAGAGTAAAATGCTCATCCGAACGAAAGGGGCCATCCATTTTCCACAGTGACCAACCATACTCCACGAAGTGTATCATTTTGGGGGCCAACTGGCGTTTTCGGGTGCCTCTTTCTCTTAAGCCGCCCTTCATCGAAACGTCGCTCAGCCTCCCGCTGGAGCGACCCGACGTGGCGAGGCTATGAGATGCAGCTGGCCCTGCGACTGGTCTACGACATCAACGAAGACTTACAGCGGCTGCTGGCGCCGTGGCGGGTGAGTGGCGGATCAACATGTTGTAGTCTTTGGAACGCATAGAGTTAATAAATCTCATACACTCCATGGGACTGCCATAAATGCCGCCCGATTGACCCCCGTGGCACCCCAATGTAGGCATGTACATGGAGCGTTTGGGTGTATGACCGGGATTCATGACAATTGCACGTGTTGTTTGCCGACCCTCCAACACTGTGGCGTATCTTTGCCCCAAATCTACCTGCATACAGTGGCTTCACATGGTTTCAGAGTCTATCGAGGCTCGGGTCCAGAACGCACCTCTTAAATGCTCACAGTCCGGTCGTGTGAAGAGTCAATTGTGTCAATCACTGCAGATGAACCCCAGGATTAATAGCAGTCTGGGCATCCAGGAAACAACTTTGGAGGCTGATTTTTGGAGGCTGATTGCATTCTCAGAGGATACGGGAATGGTCTAAGTTTTGTGCAGGTTCAGGGACCCCACACCAAAACCGCAGAGACTTGTGCAAGACATGAATTCTGAGGGCTGAGCTACCTCTGCTGAGTCTACTGTTGAAGGACCTAAATGCTACCCAGAAATGGGTCAAGTGTCCACCATTGTTTGCGTCTTCTGCATTTTCAGTGGTGCAGGATTTCTTCCGATTTGGGTCAATCGCCCGATTCGGTGTTTCCTTCCCGCTATCATCTTTGATTCAGTTTGGGATAGTTTGCAACTTTCTGGACATTGAGGACATGGTGTGCTGGAAGGGCAAAACCCAGCAAGCCCTGAATACCTGGCTTACCCTCAGATGGAAAGCTCTATCTTTTGGAAGTGAGAAAGTCGTCTATAGAGTCTAAACATGGTCCCTCAGATAGAACACTTGTTCTTCATGGTCCGTAAAAAAGTGAAAGGGGGACTGGGTGGACCACTGTGTTCGACATGGGGTGGTTTCTTTTAGGAAGACGGAAGGCGTTTCGACATGGAAGGCTTGGCCTGTGGAAGTGGAAGTAGAACTTCCAACACTAAGCACCTTTATATACACCTGACCTTCCTGTCCAACATCTTCCAATCCATGGTTTGCCAAGCAAAACACGATGAAAGCTGAGAAGTAGTTTTGAAGATTTTTGAAGATGTTCTATCAGGATGTCCTGAGAGTGCGGGAAGGCAAACCATGAATTCCTCGTTCCACCATCGTCTTTTCCTTCCCTTGGTGACGACGCGACGAAGCCGGGCGTGTCGTAGAAAGTGACGTCCCACCTGCGACCTCCAGGTGCAACAGGGTCTACTGGGCGTTTGCTGCACCATCCTATTGCGCCCCTGGCCTCCTTACCCCACCGGAGCGGCGGAAGTGGTTCGCCGACCCCGTTGTGTTCGCCGACCTTTCGAAGTTGTCGAGATAGATTGGGACACGGCAAGAAGCGCATCCAAGCGTTGATGCGCACGTTCGCCGACCTTGTGTCTTCATTTTGGTCGGTGCCCAGACGCTCCAAACGGCCCGACTGGTCCCTCAAAACCTAGGGATTTGAGACCCCTGACCCCTCCATATGAGGGTCCATGAGCGTCTGGGTGACTCTTTTTTGTGTCGTGTTGTGTTTGAAGTTTAATGGCCCCGAAGGATGAGCATGAAAGGTATCCAGCCCAGACATGCTCAGACGGTGCCTTCACTTCAGAAGTCAGAAACATCCTTAAACCACGCAGAAAACTTCAAACACATCGTTTTGTACAAGAAAACCATGCTCGTCCGTGTTGTTTTTCTTGGCCCCTCCGCCGACTCCGTTGACGTCATGGGAGCCGCTCCGCTGCTCGGCTCACGTGAAACCAAACGGCCGATGGGTCGGTCGGCGGATTGGAAGGTGCCTTTATAAAAAGAAAAACACACACACATTGTAATGTAGACTCTTGATTAATAAACCATCCCATTTGAGTTGAAACACCTCTTCGATATAGGAGGGTTTATGAATCAAGAGTCTACATTATGTCAGGTCGGGGTGAGCCCGAACAGATGTTTGTTGGGTGTGTGTGGTCAAACTTATTCTGAAAGAAGATCCAAAGTTCATGAGCGAATGGTTTGGGTATAGAGAAAACAGACCCGCTTGAAGAAGTTATGGTTGACCCCCTTCCCCCTGAAAGATACATGCACAGATGTCCCCCATCTAACCAGCGGAAGGGATTACTATCCTTTTCTTACACAGTTTCAAGGCCGAAGAAAGATAACCTGACCTACAACTAGCAAACCCTAGGGCTCCTGGCCCACCTCCTGAGAAGATGGGCCAGTGTGGTGGGTGTCAGGGGGGTCGAATACCACCTCCTGAGGATATGGGCCAGGAGCCCTATAGGGAAAGTACATACCTGGACCATATCCTGTCTGGACATCCTGTCTGGAGATCTGGTAGCCTGTATTCTACTCCCAAAACAAAACACGCACAACACGGACATGGTCCCTGGTAGCTTGGAACGTAGTATAGGACTTCGTCTTTCCAGAATCGCTGGGAACGGGACCGCCAATGCGGCCAGGCCAACCCCCAAGCGGCAACAGGAGATGCGCGCAGCCATTGGAGAAGAGAGGAGCCGAGCCTCCCAACCACCACCCGTCGGAGACACGTCGCCCGCCCGACGCGGAACGCGAGACACCGGACTCAGAGGATCGGTGCGGACCATCGAAGAGAGCGAGGGAATCAGGAGGGGGAGAAGCCACAGAGGTCTTTCTTCTCGTGGGTGGGGAGTAGACGCGGATGGCACCACCTGTTGGGTGTTTCGGGAAAAAATTCAGGTCATCCGAGTCGAGCCCCAGGGCCATCCACGCCACATCACGCCACCTTGATGAGTTCACGGAGTGTATACTGTATACAAATATAGCCCGAAGATAGGTCCAGGTACATGTTGTGGTTGCTCTGATATCTGGCTTCAACGTGCCAGGAGCTACAAACATCCTTTTCTGCCAAAGCATGAACGTGAGCATTGGTCATTGTGGTTCTTGCAATTTCCGGGCTGCTGAGTGGGTGTTGAATTCTGGCACTCAGCGGCGATTGAAGGATTACATCAGCTGGTGATGCAATGCTGATGAGAATCTCATCTGGCAACCTGTAGCTCCAAACCTCCCAGGTTGACCTGTCGACGAAATCATGTCATCCCGAACGGGTCATGTGGCTGGTCTATGGGTGTCGGGCCGACGTTTTAGAGCGCTTCATTCACCCACACGTGGCATGTGGCTTCAACGAGTCGTAGCGTGTGGCGGGTTCAATGACACTGTGCGGTTGAAGAAGCGACCGGGCATACGATGATCAATCACTCTCAAACTATCCTTGTAAGCAAATAACCAGCTACATTTGGTGGTTTTGGGTGGTGAATGTAGGTCTTTACTGACATGGATGCTATGGGACTGTCATTTCAACAGAGGTTCTATAAATTATTAGCAGATCGATGCAGAAAGCGTTCCAGTTCCAGTTCGGTGGCGATCTTTTGACGTTTGCGCACCGTTTTTGAAAGAAATGACAGAGAGCGCACGGACTTGGAAGCATGCAGAGGCAAGGGTGGAAGGGTGGTGAATCAATAGATTACTTTAGTTCGCGTGATCCCCACCATGACATTTCAATCATTTGTTTTCATGCCATGGTGAGGAGTGTGTTGCCATGGTCGGGGGTGTTGTGGTTCTCGATGTTGCTTTTCGGTCCTCGGGTTTGGGGTTGTTGAGTGGTTGTTGTTTTAGTGTTAGTGTTGGGGAGTTCGCGTCAGGGTGTCGCCAGGATCTCCAGTTGGCATACAAAAGCCCGACCCCGTGACCCTTTGCCACGCAAAATGCTCCCCACACACAGGTAAATATATTCGTGTGCTGTGTGTTGTGGTTGTGTGTTGTGTTCGTGTGTTGTGGCTTTGTGTGTGTTGTGGCTGTTTGATGTAGTTGTGTATTTGTGCTTGTGGTTGCGTTTGTGTTTTTCCTCACCTGCCAGGTGCACCTGAGGGTCGTTAGAGCTTATATGATTTTATCAGAACTCTTATCCTCTTTCCTCTCTCCTCGGCAGCAAGTTAGAGCAAGTGCCAGATCGCAGTAGGTATTGCCGGACCCCAACCGCAAGTGCCCAATTGCAGTGGGCACTGCCGGACCTCAATGGCAAGCGCCAGATCGCAGTGGGCCCGATCGGGCCTCAACGGCCAGTGCCAGAGGAAAACTTCATTGGTGTCGCATGGATGGTTCCGACTAAAACTTGGAAGGGTATTGCAAGCAGCGTAGGCGTAGACCACTTGTCACAGAAGTCAATTTGCCCAACAGACTGCCGCCTGATGATTTGTAAATGAGCGAGGAGCAGAGGCTGCTTCAGAGACAATCAGTCAGGCGGAAATGATGAAAAAGCATATTTCATTCGTGGCCAAGCTTTGACAGCTATATGATATATGCCTAGATATATCGTCGAACTCACACATGGCCGGCAGAAGGCGCAAGCCAACTGGAGTTGGATGGAGGTGCTTGGCTGCCGCTGTATGTTCAAGATGCTTGGCAAGACAAGCCCGGGCCATGCTGCACGTTTGCCGTCCACCCTGTTGGAAATATATAACAAGACAGGCGCCCGAGTTTGCGCGCAGGCATCATTGTTACCACATCACGGCCATGGCAACTTGCTCCTCACCATGGCATGAAAACAAATGATTGACGTGTCATGGTGGGGATCGCTCGAAGTAAACTAATTGTGGGTGTGTGCTTTTGGTTGTGTATTTGTGGCTGTGTGTTTGTAGTTGTTTGCTTGTGGTTGTGTTTTGTGGTTGTGTCTTTGTGGTTGTGTTTGTGATTGTGTGTTGTGGTAGTGTTTTGTGGTTGTGTGCTGCGGTTGTGTGTTGTGGTTGCGTATTGTAGTTTTTGTGTTGTGGTTGTGTCTTGTTTGTCATTGTGTTTTGTGTGTGTGGTGTAGTTGTGTTTATTCTTTTGATATTATTACACAATAATATTAATTATACATATATATATACACTTTTTCCTGGCCTTGAAGCTTCGCATCAGGAATCAGAAGAAGGGAAGATCCGACCTGGGTGTGGGTCTGAACGAAGTGCATCGTGACACTCACTTGCAGAGGCTTGATCGCGAAGGACCTGAAAGGGGTCTCGAACAGACACAGAGATTTCCAAAACAAACATCCTGCAAAGTATCGCTATTGGTCGATCTGTTCCAGTGTAACCAGCCATTTTGTCTCAAGAATGGATGCTGGGTAAGTGCCGGTCCACAGGGACACTGCCGCTGATACGGCAAGGTCACAGACCATTACACCCCAGAATGCCATCGTGAGCGATGTTACAGGTTTGTGCGAAATGGCGTCAAACCGATCTGGACCGCTGGTACAGCGCCGCCTTTGGAAAGCGCGCCCCGCCCCGCAGCGTGGTTGCGCTTTGGAGCCTCCCTCTACGCGACTTGCGCTTTACCTGTTGGCCGGGCTCTCGTCGAGCGAGGATTGTGACGGCCTTGCGCGGGGTCTCTTTTCTCGGGGCCGCTGGGAAGATGCATGGGATGGAAAGACAGATCGGCAGAAGACAAACAAGAGAAGTCAGATGGTCAGAAGAGACACACAGGTAAATATATTGCTGTGTTGTGTGTTGCGACCGTGTGTTTGTGGTTGTGTGTTGTGGTTGTGTGTTGTGGTTGTGTGTTTGTAGTTGTGTGTTTGTGGTTTTGTGTTTGTAGTTGTTTGCTTGTGATTGTGTGTTGTGGTTGTTGCGTTGTGTCCGTGTGTTGTGTTTAGTTTAAGTGGTGTGGTTGTGTGGGTGTTGTGGTTGTTTGTTGTGGTTGCGGTTGCCCTGGCGGTGTTCGCTGCTGTTCTGCGCGATCATTTTGACTGTGCTTGTAGAACTCTGATTTTTTTGCATAGAGAAGCCGCTATATAGAATAGACTGCGAGACAGACCGTCGCCAGACCCAGACGGAGCCAGGGGCTTGACTTTACTGAGGCCGCTTTTCTTCATTGGGCGACCTCTGCTGTGGAGCGATTGCTTCACGTGTGTGGCCTTGACACCTTAAGTCCAGAAGTCATGGGTCAAAGTCTTGCTGCTCAACCAGGGCAAGAGCCTTGCAGATTTTGAGAACCTCGAGGCGAATATCAAATCAGCCATTTCGCCAGAGGCAAATGCTTTCTTGAGGATCCTCAATATCCTGGGAGAGCTGAGCAAGACGGACGACGCCCCAGACACATCAACCAAGGAAGGTTTGAAAGAGCTTGTTTTGCGCCACATCCAGGCTTCAAAGTTGGACATTGATGAGGTCAAAACCTTGCCCGGCTTCCAGAATGCCGAGGCTGTGCTTGGCAACTTGAAGTCAACTTTGGAGAAGACTTTGTCGGACTTGCGCCAGAAGCTTGAAGCCCAGAAAATTGCTTTGAAGCCCATCTTTGATGATTACTTACAATGGAGCTCTAGCCTCGCAAAACCAGGCACGGCAGAGGGAGGGAGGAGGGAGGGAGGGAGGAGGGAGGGAGGGAGGGAGGGAGGAGGGAGGGACGGTTGTTTTACCAGGCTTGAGCTAATATTTTAATATTCCAGCCATGAGTCATCAGTCAGGCGCGCGCATGAGAGGTGAGACCATACAGGGGTTAAGTTGGAAGCGAAAGCCGGCGTGCGGCATGGCTCCCTCCACATCTCAGGAAGATAGGGGCAGGGCATGTGGCTAATTCTCTTTCAGTTTTCATTTTCACTTCGTCCGTGTTTCTTTGATGTTGGATGTCTCTCACTCCCTTCTTCATTTGCTGGGCTGTGCAGCCCATGACCCATTCAATTCTCAGTTCACTCGATATATTAACCGGTGAACTGCGTACTGGGTCAGGCTGCTGTGGACGACATCTTGAAAGGTTGGACAGAGGAAGAAAGGAGTCAAATACTTGGACGATGGTCCAATGCTCGGTTTCTTTGCTCCAAAGCAGCAGCTTTGATTAGAATCTTAAATTAGGGTTAGAGTCTCTGAGGCCTTCAGCCCATTGCGGAGCTGGAGATGATGGCTCAAACCCTTGTGCCGTTCAAAGACGACTTCAAGCCCGACGTTGAGGGTGGCAGCGCAGATTCCCTCATCGCCTCTTTCAATGAATTCGTGAACTTGGGTAGTCTTCTTGGTCAAGAACTATCTCTGACCGCAGCTTGCTTGATCGGAGCTGATTTGAGCACAACCGATTTGAGCAAAGTTGATATTGTCAAACAAGTGGCGGGATTTTACCAGTATTGCCAGTCACACAATTTGAGCAAAAAGGTCCTGCCCAAGCCATTGGTCGAGCGCTTGGACAAAATTGTCAAGGACTGACAAGTTTTTGAGTCTCGCTCTTTGGCGCATAGCGTGCTTTCGTCTGAGGCCTCTTGTGAAACCGTTTCCGACGCCACAGCCGCAGGATGCGAAGGCCATGCCACCGCCGGCGCTGGCTGCAAAGGTAGCTAAATCATTAGCTGCTGCAGGTGCAACATCATCTGCATGTTTGCGGCTGTGTGTTCCCCACCTGTCAGGTGTCCTCGTCCTCCCTCCTCCTTTTCCTCCGCCTCCTCCTCCGCACCTCAACCGCCATCTCCGGATGGTTCCCCACCAGACCTCAACCGCAAGCTCCGGATGGCAGTGTTCCCGCTCAACCGGAATGAATGTAAGAAGATATGCCAGAAAGAGTGCGAAAATAATGGTTCAATGCATGCCAGATTTTTTTCAGATTGACATGTCGTGGTGCGGATCACTCGAAGTAAAGTAATTTGCGTTTCTGTTTTTGTGGTCGTGTTTGTGGTTGCGTTTGAGGTTGTGTTTGTCGTTGTGTTGGTGATTGTCGTTTGCGGTTGTGGTAGTGGTTCGAGACTGCCCACTGCAATCTGACGCTTGCGGTTGAGGGTGCCCACTGTGATCAGACCTTTGCTGTTGAGGTCCGGGAGGAGAAAGACGAGGATGAGGAGTTGTGGCAATAATTAATCCTCAGCTGACAGGTGACGAAAAACGATGTTCGATGATCGATCTTGATCCACAGAACATTGAAGCCATCGAAGCCATGAGTGGCCGAGTGGCTGAGGAGTTTCCAAATGGTGCAATGCTGGGCCAGGCTTCAGCACTTGGGAGACCACAACGTCGCATCACATGCAAGAACAATCTCGCAATGAATCGAAGCCAGGACAGTCGGAGTCCAAATTGGTGAAGGCCTTGCATGGCCCTTCAGATTCCAGAGCGGCTGGAGGCATACAATGTTGCTAAACATATTGATGAACATTGTTGAGGGTGCAAGATGCGGCACCTCCGGCCATGATATCATCACGGCGACACCTTAGGAAAAATTAGGAGGAATTGCAAAGGATCAGCTGACGTCAAGACTGTTCGTATTCTTCGCATCGTCTACGCAGGTGCTTTCCACGGTGTAGCGGAGCAGCTGCCCTCCTGCGCTACGGAGAAAGCCGCCAAGCGGCAGCTCCGCCGCCTGTCCGTCCACGCACCTTTCCTGGAGTACTTGATGACCGCGACGTTCGCCGTCTGCAAGTTCTCTTTCCACATCTCCCAGACTCTGCCACGGTCGGCGGTTGAAAAGTACCTGAGACAGATCTTACCGCACAGCAGGGCTGACACAGCTTGCTCCGGAAACCGTCGTCAAACACGTGTGTTGGGAACCATGGTCAGTGGGGAGACTTCCATACTCTCCGAAGAACCCACAAGCGAAGGCATCCACATCATGAACAGTGGATCACAAAAAGGTTTATTCATCCGAAAAAAAGGCATGTCAAAATCTAACCCTGGTTGACCACCAAAAATGAACCAATGTTCATGTATGTTTTGTTTTTCCATAATTACATAATCTTTAAGTTATGGGGTTCCAATTTTCCATGCAACCTTTGCTTTTCCCACGCAACATCAACAGATTCCTCTTTCGAAAAGGGATGTTTTACAGTTTTCCATGGTTTGACCAAATGTCGAAAGGTCTTGGAGGTCTTGACCCATTCCACCTATCGATTCTTCCGATTCCGGTGTCCAGGAGCGACGAGGACTTCTCCGAGACGCTCACCTTGCAGGAGGCCAAGCTGCTGGCGGGTGCGGTGGCCAGCCGGCGAGGAGACCCGGAGATTGGGGAGTTGGGCGCGGAGTTGATTGGACGTGGGGTTGGAGTGGTTATAGCCTAGTCTTGTTGTTGTTGTTGCTGATATTTTTTTGTTTATTTTGATAGTTGTTTTTTTTTTGGGTTTGGAGATGTTTTAAGGGAAGGTTTGCCAGTCCCAAAGGTTCCTGTTCGTTTCTACATCGAGGTTTCTGAGATTTCTTGGTGATGCGACATCAGGTGGTGCCGGTCAATAGCTTCACCAAGCGCAAAGGAATCCTCAAGGTGACATTTTTTATTGAAGATGCTGCTGAAGGACCATATATATAAGATGAGTACTATATACCAATCATCAAATAAGTACTCTATATATATATATATATCACATCGTGACTGTGTATCTCCTCAATGGCATACGAAACTCACCACATTCAGCACCTCATCACTTCCTTCAGTCTTCCTTCAATGTGGTTTCCTAACTGGATCTCTTTCAGTTTTGCAACCTTGCACCCGTTCCGGCCACCGTACCTCACCCACCTTGCATAGTCCACTGCGACACACAAGGACGTATACACTCCACTTACACCACCTGCCCCACGAACCAACAGCACCTCTCGTGCGGCCGGATTCTTGGGTTTGGTGAAGGTGAATGGCAGAATTTCCTTCTTTGAAGATCTGCCAAGCCATGGAAAAAATGAAAACATATCGTCAAAGATGACACAAAAACAAACTCCTTGTTTTTTGCCTCACCGTACACGCTATGCAGGGCCCTTCTTTTTGGGCATTCTCGTTCGCCGACGACTCGATGACGTGGCCCGAGGCTCCTGTCCTTGCCTGATGCTTACAAGTACATCCAGGCAGCGTCGAGAAATGGCGGGGTTCGCTGTCGCTTGTTGCGGAGATTGGTGGTTGACACATAGGACCCGACGTCTCTTGTATCTTGGAAATGGGACATGACTCGACCCTAGAAACAACATGTATATTTAATATATTTGTACCCACTTTCCGAGGTACCCAGTGAGACCCAAGGTAAACATGTGCTGCGGTATAAACCTGGGCAGCGAACGAAGAAATGTCGGAATTGGCGCACTTTTCAAGAGTGCCAGGCGGTATGGCCGGGCGTGTGGCACCATCATAGGCATTGGTTTTTGACAGGCCAACCTTGATCGATGACAAGTGTCCAATGTAGATCTCGAAGTCGTGCAGGGTAGTCCAGCCAGGACATCCATTGGGTACTGGAGGTTCTATTGACGATGTTCTATGTTCTCTTCGACCCAGAGGTGAATCTTGCCGCGTTTTCTTTTGAGCCGATGTGTTGAAGAGTCCTTTGCCCAAGGATCCTCCAGTGCTGGACTGCTGGACTGTGATGTCTTTGTTATCTGTCACAAAGGACCCCGAGTTCTAAGACAAAAGCAAAGTCAAAATAAACAGTCAAGATTGGCAAACGGTAACTCAGTAAATTGAGTGTGACAACCTTCTAAAATGATCTAACTGCAAGGGTTCAAATTGTACCCCTCGTTCATTTTCATGTACATCCAGGAAAAGACCCACATGGAACCAAATTACATTCCGGGCCTTTGGAAGACGATGTTCCTTTACAACCCAATGGTTTCGTCTTGTCCATTTCATCCATGTATGCCCCTGGCCTGTCCTATGGCAGTCCCATGTGCCGTGTTTGGGTGTTGTTAATTCTATAATCCTCCTTTCAATCATTGACACTATCTATTAGCAGCACAGGATCGACGAGCACGTGTGCATGCACTTGGAATGTTTTCTCAGTGGGGCTCCTCAGGTTTCACGGCCGTGGTGTGGCGGATTGGGCGTGTGGCGTGGTGTGTTTGGTTGTTGCCTGGTGATGTTTGTTTAGTCTCCGGGGTGCTTGTTGGAGGTCACACGTGACCACAAGATGGTGATGTCGCAAATGGAAACAAGCTGGTGATGTCGCACGGAGGACACCACAAGTAGTCGTTGGAGGCACCGGACGGAGGCATGGTGGGGTTCCCCTTCGCCGCCAAGTGCGAAGTCCAGCGAAGAACGTCGATGAAGGTCGAGTGGTTAACAAAGCCCTGTGGAGTGCCCTGTAGTGGAGTGGTACTCCAGGGCCCTGTCGAGTGATTCTGTGACAGTGCCCTGTGGAGTGGTCAGAATGACATGCTGACCAGGGTAGGTCACCTGCATCTCGTTGATTTCAGTCGGATTTATCTATGATCCACCCTCACAGATGTCTCATGAAATCACATGAACAGACAACAGACTCTGATCACCAACTGGTGGATTCTTTCACTCAGATGGTGATCAGAGCTTCGATCACATGGCGCACCAGGCATCACTCGGGTCGTCATGGGGTGGCAGGATACTGACCCGTTTTTTCGCATCATGCAGGTGATAGTAAAATCATTTTTGTTTCTAACACATATATCTTTTGGTCTATGGTTTTATATGTATTTTGTCCAGCTCCTTAAGCAAAGCCAAGCATATATTGAGCCAGATGGAGCAAAGAAATCGTTTTTTTTGGTTATTAAATTGAATCTGTCTCAAAGGGATCAAAGGCCTCAACACAAGCAGGAGGGTGTTATTATCATTCATATTCATTCCAAAGAGGTCAAACTCCTCACTGACCTCAAAGGGGTTTTAGTTCATTGACCCATTGTTTCGACCGTTCAGGATTCATCATTGGAGTGATGCAGTCTTCGAGCAACAGGCACCTGCGCCAGGGGTGGCGCCTTCTTGGAATGCTCCTGGGTTCTCCTGGGTTCAGCAAAGCAAGAGCTGTATGAAGGCTGGGAAGGTGGCATGAACCATACCAACCATGGCTCCCCCAATGCATTTTGGGATCCTTTGGCAGAACTCCGGAAAACTTGAACCGGTGGTTGCTTGGAGGGGCTGAAATTGAGCTGGCGTTCAGTTAATGTCATTATTAGGTTGATGCTATACATTGTAAACTGAGCAGAATTGACCTCATTGCTCATCATCATCATCATCATCATCATCATCATCATCATCATCATCATCATC